TTTTTAAAATTGAAATAAATATATATATACGTAAAATATATATGCGTGAGTATGGGTGTGTGCGTGTACGAAGACGATAAAAAAGATGATTACGAAAGTTAAAATAAAAAATTTATTTAAATGATTTTTTATTTTTTTCGAAAATTGAAACGTGAAAGAAGAAGAAGAAGAAGGCGGTAAAAATATACAACGTAATCAAATTTTTTTTTTTTTTAATAACGTTTCCGGTTTTTAAGGAAAATCGTTAAGGAAAATAAAAAAAAACCGGAAGTAATAGAAGGTGACGACATTTCACGTGTGGAAAATTAATGATGAAACGCACAACGGCAATCAATACTAATGGAGAAGAAAACTCAAATGAAATCATGGATAGAAAGCAAAAAAAAAAAAAAAAAAAAACAATTGATAATACAGAGAAACGTAAAAAAGAGAGAGAGAGAGAGAAATGAGAAGAATAAAAATGAAGATGAGAGAGACAAAAAAAAAAAAAAAAGAAAAGGCGAAAACGTTTACGTTGCCAAAAAATCAAATAAAAAATTTTATCCCGATGAAAAAACCTAAAAAAAAATTTTTTTGTTCGGGTTTTCACCCCTGCCCCCCTCCCCGCCTACTCCTTTCCCCTCCTCTCCCTTTACTGTCTCCTCGTAAAAATAAAATAAAATAAAATGTATAAAAAAAAAAAAAAAATTTTCATCATCGGAATTAAATCTCGAAATTTATTTTTTTCGGATAAAAAAAAAGAATTTTTTTAAAATACGATGGCGTCGACATAAGACGCCCCCCCCCCACTCCCCGTAAGTCAACCCCCCCAGTTGACAACTTCCTCCCCGTTTAATTTTGCGTTAAATTTTTTTTTTTTTTTTTTTTTTTAATTAAAGGAAGTAATGTATAAATAATAATAAACGAAAAAATGTTAATAGTTTTATTTAAAAAGATGGGTGGGGGGGGGGAGGGGAAGGTCGCGGCGAAAAAAAGGTTAAAATGAAAATGAATAAAAAAAAATTTTCTTTCCGACGGGGGGTGGAGGGGAAAAAACCTCGTTACGAAAAAGAAAAAGAGTAAATATGTGTTTAAGAAATGACGAGAAATGAATTTTATATTAAAAAAAAAAAAAAAAATTTTTTTAATTTAAATTTCTATTCGGCGTCGAATTTCCCGACGTGATAAAAAAAAAAAAATGTCGTCTGCTATAAACTCTTTTGCGACAAAGTTAAAACCGATGAGAAAAAAAAATTATAGAGATAATAATAATAATAATAATAATTTCGTCAAAACATCGAATTTAAGACAGGTGCTCACAGTAAATAAATTTTTGTATAAAAACCAATAACCTTTCTCTCTCTCTCTCTCTCCCATTCGCCCTCTCATTTACTCTCTCTCTCTCTCTCTCTCCCATTTGCTTTCTCATTCGCTTCTCTCTCTCTCTCACTCTCTTTGTTTTTTCACATCTCTTACGTTTGCATATTAATATAACCTTTTGAAAACAATTTACGATCCGTTTTTCCCACTTTTCCACTCTCTTTCCTCTCCTTTCTATCACTCTCTCTCTCTCTCTCTCTCATTTTCTCTAATAAAAAATTATTATCAATTTAATATAATCTAAATCTATTACGTTGACGTCGTCGTATTTTTTGACAAAATAAAGTAAATGCAAAAAACTTTTCTTTTCTATTTTTGTACGAAAAAAAAATAAAAATAAAAATTTATCATCTTTTCTTTTTACGTTTGAGTTTGAAAATTGAAAACTAAAAAAAAAAAAAAAAAAAAAAAAAAAGGAAAAAAGGTAAAAAAAGGTTAAAAAGGTTAAAAAAAAAAAAATTTTTTTTGTACATATTTTACGTGTGATAAAAGTTGAATGGAAAAAAAAAAAAAAACTTTTCACACTTCCAACACACACAAAAAAAACTAAAAAAAAACTTTTACTCACTTCCTTCCTACTTTTTAGTTAATTTTTCACCCCGGCAATTTACTTTCGTTTACGATAGACAGAGAGAGGGAGCAGGGGACACGGGGGGCACGGGGGAAGGGGGCGCGGGAGAGAAGGAAAAAAAAAACGGGAAAACTACCATTAACGACAACAACTTTATAATTAAATATGTAACCATTTAAAAAGTTTTTAAATTAAATTGATTTACATTATTATTATTATTTGAAATGAGAAAGAGAAAGATAAAGAGAGAGAGAGAGAGAGAGAGAGTGTGTGTGTGTGTACAGGGAAGGGGGGAAATGCGAATCGAAGTTACGTAAACACTTCAACATATTTATTTATAAAAAAAAAAAATCGTTTAAACACGAGGAGAGAGAGAGATAGGGGGGGGGTCTTTCGAAAAACGGAAATAGAAGAAGTACTTACTCCATGTTGCCACGTGACCAAACGAATCCAAGGATTGGCCGTTACGGAACATTCGAAATAAACGTCAACTCCTTCACGTATCGAACTTCCATTTATGTTCGAACCCAGGGTCAGAGTTACTTGGGGAGCATCTAAAATTAAAATAAAATTTAAATATTAATACGTCGTACCTGAAAGTCGGTGGGAGGAGAGAGGGAGGATGGAGGGGAAAGGGGAGGGGGGTATTTAAAAAAATTAATTTAATTTTTTGTGTGGAAACATTAAAAAAAAGTCTTTCTTCTCATTATTTTTTTTTTTATGAACGAAAAAGGAAGAAGGTATTCGAAAAATAGGGAGTGGAAAAGTTTCGGGATGAAAAGGAATGAAGGAGGAAAGAAAGGAAGGAGGAGAGGAAGGAAAGGAAGGAAGGAAATGTCACTTTACATTTAATAATAATTCTTAACGTTTATTAAATTTAAATTTTTCCCTACGATAAATTTCACCAGGTCCGAACATTCCAGCCTTGCGCGCGGGAAAAAGGAGGAAAAGAAAAAAAAATTTATTATTGTCATCATTATTATTATTATTATTATTATTTAATATTATTACTTTTTTTTAAAGCAGAAGAAAAAGACGAAAAAAAGAAAATCTATTATTTTTTAATTAAAACTCGAATAAGTTGAGTTAATTTTTTTTTTTTTTTTTTTTTCATTTATAATTTACGACTTTCCCCTTCTCCCGTCGTGAGAGAGAGAGAGAGAGAGAGATCCCCCGGGGAATTCCCACGGCTATAAGAAAAGAACAATTTGATAAATTTACCAATTTTCAAATTCTTCTCCCGAAATTATTATAATTTTTTTTACAAAAAAAAAAAAGTTTCCAACAAAAATAATAAAAAGTAGTAGTAGTCGTGGTAGTAGTGCTAATTTTTTTTTTTTTTTCTTTTACATTCGAAAAAAAAATAAGAAGAAAAATGGCGGCCGGAGAGGGGGGAGGAATGATAAAAGGTAAAAATTTGTAATCCAAAAAAAAAAAGAAAAACGAAAAAAAAACGATTTTAATTTGTATAAATTTTTAGCAAATGACAAAAGGTAAACAAACTACGACAAAGCCTCCGCCATCTCATTAATTTTATGATGACTCTCTCTATGACTTCCGGTTTCTTTCCTTACTCGTGACGTCATCGAAAACATTCAAACTCGTAAGATAAACATAATCGGATTTTCATGATTTTTACATGAAATTAATTTTTAATAAAAAAAAAATTATTTATTTATTTTTTATTATTATTATTATTATTATTATTATTATTATTATTATTATTATTATTATTATTATTATTATTATTAAAGTATTACTAATAAAAATATTTTTTTTATTTTTTATCCGTTGATAATATTTTTAATAAAAAAAAAAAAAAAATTTATTTTAATCTTTAAGGCGAAAAAAAAATCCTATTTTATCCCAAACAAACAAACAAACAAACAAACAATGGTTGTTAATCTTTTTAACTGGAAATTTTTTGTTCTGGAGAGAATTAAATACATATATCTTTAATACCTTATTCGCGAATTTTTTTTCTATTTTTTTTTTTTTTCTATTTAGAAAAATAATCCAGGTGCGTTTAAAGGTACGTAAATAATTTCAAAACACATACTATTATTTCCGGTCACGTGATGCGACCGGAAATCGACGTAATATCGGATATCCGGGGGGGAAAAAAAAATAATACCAAACGAGACACTGAGAATAAATTAATTCATTTATTTATTTTTATTTTTTTTTTAGGAAATTTCCAGAACATTCATCGTCTAAATAATAATAATAATAATAATAATAATAATAAATTGTAATTTTATTCAGAAACCGAATTTTTAGAAATTATATTAAAGAATAAAACCGAAACTCGAATTTTGGGTTAACCATTTTGAAAAAAAAAAAAAAAAAAAATTAATGACGACGAAAATTCTAGAAAAAGTCGTAAATTTTTTTTTTTTTTAAATGACTTAACCGACTAGACCGTCGTTCCAAAAAAAATTTTCCCGCCATTTTTATTTTTTTTAAAATTAAATAAACATGTAATAAATTTTTAATGTTTTTTTTTCCATTTTTTTTCTTTTTTTTATTTTGTTGGAAAATTCCGATTGAAAGAGACATAAAACAAAATTTAATTATTATAATGAGGTAAGTTTAATTCTCTCTATCTCTCTCTTTTTCGGAAAAGGTTGACGAACGAAAATATTTAATAATAATAATAATAATATCAACCTTGGAGGATTTTCTAGAAAGTTTAATAATTTTATTATTATTATTATTATTATTATTATTATTATTATTATTATTATTATTATTATTATTATTATTATTATTATTATTATTAACAATTCGTCGACATATTAATTTTATTTTAATTTCTCTTAACCGTCATTTTCTTTCATTCGTCAAGTTTATTTAAATTTTTTTTTTTTTGGGTTTTTTTCGAGAACGAAAGTCTTAATATCAACAACAATTTTGCGGTATTCAAAAAAAGAACAAGGGAGGAGGGAGAAGGGGAAAGGGAAGAGGGGGCAAAGATGAAGAGGAACATGATGAAGTGGGAGATGAAGAAGAATAAAAAGAAGAGAAAAAAAAAGGTTAAATTCTTTTGAAATTAAATTTAAAGTTTGTGAAAAATTAATTTTTCACAAACTTTTTCTTTTCTTTTCTTTATTTTCCTTCCACGGTAACAAAAAAAAACTTCTCGTGAAAGAAAGAAAAAAGAAAAAAAATATGAGAGTCACTTACGTGGCAATAGAAACAAAAAAAAAAAAAAGAAAAAAAAGGGTTAAAAATATGTCGGATTATTCATTAAAAATCGTTAGATGAAAAAACAAAATGGCCGAAGATCGAATAAAGTACGAGAATGCGATAATCGTTAAAGATAAGAATTGAGAAGAGGAAGTGACGTCACACACACGCACACACACAAACACGTGATTAATTATTAATTTTCGTTGTTTCAAAACAAATCCTCGTCTTTATTACTACAAATTACCCAACGTCAATCGTTGTATCCTTTCAAGTTTTCAAACCCCCTCCCTACCCCATCCTAATCGACTACGTCATCAACGTCATTAACGTTATATTAATAATAATAATAATATTAATAATAAAAGGGAATTAATGTCGTCAAAGATGTCGTAAATAAATAATTTTAATCATTTTTCGGATTTAGCGATGAAAAAAAAGGGAAAAAATAAATGAAAAAAAAACTTACAGTGAACGTTTAACGCCCAACTATCTTCTCTTGCACTTCCAGGTACGTGAGGATTGATTGCTCTGCAAGACAAAGATTTTCCTAAATCTTCTTTTGTCGGTGTAAAAGATAATGTGCTCACGGTAACGTTCGAATCGGGACTCGTCTGTAAAAAATAATAACAATAATGATAAAAGTAATAGAATAAATAAACGACTACTTTGCCGCGATTTTCAAAACGTTCCAAACGTTCGAAACGTTCGAAAATTTAAAAATTTAAAATTTGTTTGTTTCAATTGAGTTTCGTGCGCGAGACCGTTAACATGTTTATTTTTTCGGGGGGTGAAGAGAATAGGGGGGATATGTGTGGGGGAAGGGGTTTAATTTGAAAAAATCGTCGTAATGATCAAATTTCGTGGATGTAGAAAAACATTTTTCAACATTTGATTATGATTGATTGAATCCGTATACAGGTTTGTCGATGTTTTTCCGTTAAAAAAAAAACCGTTAGGCCTTTCAAAAAAAAAAGGAAAAACGATTTTTTATTTCGATTGTAAAATTTAAATAAGAATAAAAAGAAAAAAATTCGCATATATGTATGTATGTACATAAATATACATAAACGTTTAAATCGAAGAAAGTGGAAAAAGAAAGAGAAAAAAATAGAATACGGTCGATATAATAATTATGTAAATTTTTGTATATATAAAAAAAAAAAAAAATGTTATGAATGTATAAAAAATAAAATGGGAAGCCATTTTTTTTTCTCTTTTGATCTTGTTTTTCCAAATTCAATGATGAAAAAAAAAAAAAAAATCTGAGTAAAATATAAGCCGCCTTTTTTTTTTTTAAAAAAAAAATTTTTCTTTTTCGGTTATATCATCATCATTATTATGATTGTTATTATTATTATTATTATTAAGTTTTAAAAGAAATGAGACAAAGAAAAAGAAAATTTTCATTTTTTTGACTTACTTTTTCCCTCGTGCTTTCAAGTAATTGCCCGGCTTTCCACCAGGAAATGGTCGCTGGAGGCCTCGAACCAACGGCTTGACATGCGACTTCGTATTCGCTTCCGGCACTCAATGATAAATTTTCTCCCACAAGACGAACATCTAATATTTTTACTACAAAGAAAAAAAAATGAGAAAAAAGTTATGATCGGAAAAATAAAATAAAACTTTCTTGAAAAAAGAGAGAGATAGAGAATAAATATCGTACGGTGTTTGTTTTCTTTCTTCCTCCCTCCTCCCCCCTCCCCCCCAGATAATCATAACAACGTCGATGATGATGATGATAACGATTTTTTTTTTCTACTTCGAAATCCAAAACGTCATAATATTTTTAAACGCGACCAACGACGACAGGCATTAAATCACAATTTATAAATACAAAATTTATTATTATTATCATTATCATCATCATCATTATTATTAATATTATATCCGGCCATCGAAATACGTCATCATAAAAAAATAAAAGTCAAATAAATTTTGATTTGTATATTTGTATTTTGTATGTTTGTTGTTCGGTTATGGTCGATAGTAATCGCGCCAAAAAATTTTTTTCCCCCTCGTTAGTTACACGTCATCATAACAACGCGTAAAAATTTGTTTTACGTATGAAATAACATAAAAAAAAAAAAAAAACGTTTTTCATTTTCGACAGGCGTGCCAACCTTCACTTCCCTTTTTCTCTGTACCTCTTTCTCTCTTTTATTTATTTTTTTTTAGCCGTTAAAGAAAAACGGCGGGAAAAATACAAAAAAAAAAAAAAAAATAAATCATTAATTTTTTTAACTGACGTGGCATGAGAAAAACAAAAAAAAAAAATGCGTACGAACGTTAAAATTTATTACGGGTAAACGCACGTTCGTACACGTTCGTTTTTAAATTTAAATTATCTTTTCATTCAATAGTGAATTATATTTAATAAAAAAAAAAAAAAATTAAAGAGAGAGAAAGAGAGAGAGAGAGAAAGAGAAAGAGAAAGAAAGGGAGAGAGAGAGTAAAAATGATTTCAGGTTTTTTAATTTACCGCGAATCCTACCTCGCTTTTCCTGTCTCTCTTTGTTTCCCTCTTTCTTTCTCTTTCTCTTTCTGTTTCTCTCTCTTTCTCCTTTTCTCTCTTTCTCTGTCTCTCTTTCTGTCCCTATCTCTCAATTTCTTTTTCTCCATCTTTTTCTCTTTCAGTCTCTGTTTCTCTTTTTCTTTCTCTTTCTCTCTCTCTCTCCTGTTTCTTTCTCTCTTTTTCTTCCTCTCTTTCTCTTTGTCTCTCTCTCTCTCTCTCTTGTTTGTTTCTTTTTCAATAAATTAAATCCTATTAATATTAAAAAAAAAGAAAAGAAAAAAACATCACATTGTATTTGACAAGTGAAAAAAAAAAAAAAAATCATTTTCAGACGCCATATTGTTTTTTGTTTATTTTTTTTTCCGTTAACGAAAAATTAATTTTTATTAATATGATATCGCGAAATAAAATTATTAATCGATTGTTGTTGTTGTTGTTTTTAAACAACCGAAAACTCTCTAAAAAAAAAAAAAATTATTATTAACTAATACAAAAAAACAATTACGACGGATTAAAAAAAAAAAAAAAAAAATCATTCAATAATTTTTCATTCGAAACATATTAAAATCCATAAAAAGTTCATGACGCCATCTTTTTTCTTTTTTTTCCCCCGAATCGAATTTTAACGATCTTTTCTCATTCCAGTTTTTTTTTTTTTTTTTTTAAACTAATCGGTATTAAATTTCGATTTAATAAAAAAAAGAAAAAAATTCGTTAAAGTTTTTGCCTTTTTTTTTTAATGGTTATCGATTAACATAATTACAAATAATTAAGTTTTTTATTACATTTTATAAAAAAAAAAAAAAAAAAAAAAGCAAAAAGGTTAATTTTTCAAATTCAAACTGAATAATGACTCTAACTCACTCATACACGAATCGTTATAAAATTTTTTTTTGCTTGCTGTGGATAGAGAAACGGCAACAAGTCGAAAAACGTAAAAAAAAAAAAAAAAATTTCATTGCGACCGCCATGTTTGTTTTTATTTTTTTTTTTTTGCATTTCAAACGCGTGGAAGTATAAAAAAAAAAAAATTTTTTTTTTCACTTTGACACGTTTCGAACGTATTTATTTTGCCACCATCATTTTCGAAATGGCCGACGATCAAAACCGCGGAAAATTATTTTAAAAAAATTTTTTTTTGCAAAGTTAAAAAAATTTTTCCGCCATTTTTTTTTTTGTGTAATAATCGTTTTCGTCGCATGCGTAAACGAAATAATAATAATAATAATAATAATAATAATAATAATAATAATGGAGGCCGTAATTAAAATTTAACGATTTGAAAAAAAAAAGAAAAATTTGATTTAATGACTCGTACGCGACATAAAATTTTTTTTGTTTAAAAAAAAAAAAATGAAAATCGATACGTAAGTGAAACGATTGTAATTAATAGAAAAAAGATGTTGAGAAAGAGAGAGAGAGAGAGAGAGAGAGAGAGAGAGAGAGTGAGAAAGAAAGAGAGAATTAATAAACCGTTTTACCGTTAAAATTATTACTATTATTATTATTATTATTATTATTATTATTATTATTATTATTATTATTGTCGACTTTGTCTCACCGAATTGTTTTTTTTTTTTTTTTCTTTTGCAAATTACATTTTCGATAATATATAATGGCTCCCCTTTTTTAAAATAATTTCAAAAACAAAATTATCTCGTGTTGCGATTTTTTTTTTCTTTTTATTTTGTTCTCTCGCTCTCACTTCTTTACGCCCCTCCCCTTCCCTTTCCTCCTCTTCACTATTTTCCCTCCTCTCCCTCCGCCCACCGCATTTCATTTCGCAAACGGGAAATTTTCAATCGTGAGTGTAAATGACGTCATCGAGTGACGGGGAAATTTTTTCCCTTCCCGCAGCGTCACCTAACGAATTTGTCTTTTCCGGGGGAAATGAGATTTCCAAAAAAAGATTTGAGTGGTGGTTTTGGGGGGGGGGTGTAAATATTTTTCTCGTTTTATTTTTTTTAATTGTTTTTCTATCCGATTTCATTTTAAAAATTAAAAAAAAATTTTTTTTTTTTTTAACGGAAAAAAAAGAAATGAAAACCTAAACAAACCTTTCGGATTAAAGGTTTTATAAAATTTAAACAGTGCGATCAACATTTTAATCTACGAAAATTCAATTTCTATTTTGTTTTTTTTTTTTATTTATTTATTTTTTTTTTTGTTTCCGGAAATTAATTAAAATAAAAAAAAAAAATTTGAATGTTTCCGGAAAAAGAATAAAACCTAAAACTACGTGTCTCTCTCTCTCTCTCTCTCTCTTTGGTTATAATTTAACGCGCGTAAAACCGAATGAGAAAGAGAGAGAGAGAGAAGGATAAAAAAAAAAATAGCTTCAAGGTTTTCTTTGAATATTTTTTTTTTGGTAGGGAGAAGGTGGTGGTGGGAAGAGGGGAAAGTCGTGAAATAATTACAAAATTGTTTTTCGTCTGTCTCTCGAATCCCCACCGGCAAAACTAATTCCATTAAAGGTATTTTCCTTTTTTTTTTCTATTTTATAAAAATTTACGAAAATTTCATTTAGTCGAGTAGTTTTTATTTTGTCGAAATACGATGGAAAAATCACCGACGACAGAGAGAGAGAGAGAGAGAAAAAAAAAAAAAGAAAAAAATTTCGTTTCCGGTTCCGGAATATCACATACAATTTATTACGCGTAGAGTAAATAAATAAATACATGAAAATTTTTCAATTTTTTTAATACGTTAAACCGGATATTAAAACTTTTCCTATCGCATTTGAAATTTTTATTACATTTAATAAAAAAATTTTTTAGGAAATCCAACTTACTCCCCGCCCCCTCCCCCTCTTCCACTCCCAAAAAAAAATATAAATTACGAATAAGTTATAGTTGACCTTTCAACTCTTTTTGTCCACCGCGTCGGTCATTAACGAAACTCTTTAATTTTTTTTTTCTGGTCATAGAGTAAGAAAACCGATTCCAGGTGATGACGATAACGATGACGATGACGATGATGATGATGATGACGATGACAATGATGATGATGATGATGATGGTGATGATCGTGATGATGATGATGATGATAATTATTTTTAACGGTTTTTTTTTCTCGTCACGTTTTTCTTACGACTTAATTTGTTTTATATTTCTTTGTTTTAAACTTTTTCTCTCTCTCTCTCTCTCTCTCTTTCCCTCTCACTCCATCTTTCGTTTCATTTTACACACTTTCTCTCTCTCTCTCTTCCCGGGTTTAAAATGTAAAATATTTATTTTAATGAAGAGAAGAAAAAAAAACATTTGAAATTTTTCTTTTTTTTTTTTTTTTTTAATTGTGAATAATAATCAAAATTTTTTTAAAACTTAAAATAAAAAATGATTATATTAATTACCGAAAATTCCAGCAGGGCGCAAGTGAGGGGAAGGGAAGAAACTTTGAAATATTTAACAGCAATTTTTAAAAATAATAATAATAATAATAAAAATGGAGGAAATTTTTTTTCCTTTTTTTCTAAATAAATATAAAATTCGATTTTATTAAGAAAATGGTAAAGAAAAAAATGCAAACTCAAACGAAAAAAATAAATAAGAAAAGGTCAAAAAATATATTATAATAATAATAATAATAGGAAAATGAAAAATCAACGTTTTTTCAAAAACGAAAAAAAAAATTCGAAAAGGAGAAAATAATAATAATAATAATAATAATTAAATGAAAAGAAAGTGTTTAAGATATTTTTTTCCTCTCCAATTTTTCTTTCGTTTTTATTTATTTTTCATTAGAAATTTATTTATTTTGTTTTTTTTCTTTTTTCTCTCCCCAAACAAAAGACCAAAAGTTAAGTTTTTTTTCGAAACGGGATAGGAAAAAAAAAACGCCGAGCACCGCCATTTTGTTTTTTTTTCTTGTTGACATAAAAAACAAAAAAAAAACAAAAGAAAAGGAAAATTTATGCGTACGTATAAACACACACACACACACAACATTTAATTAAAAGTTCAATATTAACTGAAAAACGAAGTTAAAAAAAAAAAAAAATTATAAGAAAAAAAGGAAAAACGAAATTAAAAATAATAATAAAATACACAGAGCGGGA